AGTGGCTCCTTAGATGAATAAGTTTATGTTTCTCAACCAGTTGGGTTTGTGAAACAAAGCGGAGATAATAAGGTATACAAGCTACATAAAGCCCTGTATGGACTTAAGCAAGCTCCAAGAGCTTGGAATAAGAAGATAGATATCTTTCTAAGGAAGAAGAAATTTGTGAAGTGCATAATTAAGCATGAAGTATATGTAACAAGAATAAATAGTGAATTACTTATACTATGTCTCTATGATGATGACTTGTTGATAACAGGAAGTTACAAGATGAAGATCGAAGATTTCAAACATGACTTAAGTGAGGAGTTTGAAATGTCAGACTTGGGAAATATCTCATACTTATTTGGCATCAAATTCTAAAAAAGCCATAGAGGCTTGATGATGCATCAAAGAAGATATGCAGGCGAAATACTCAAGAGATTTGAGATGCAAGATTGAAACCCAACTTCGACTCTAACTGAGCCCAGATTGCAATTGTTGAAAGACACAGATGAAGATGATGTTTATTCAATGCAGTATAGAAGGCTTATTGGACCATTAAGACACCTTTGTCATACAAGGTCTGATCTAGCATACAGTGTAAGTATGGTGAGAAGATTCATGTAGAAGCCAAAGGTGTCACATCTAGCAGCGACAAAGAGGATACTAAGGTATATGAAAGGAACTCTCGAATATGGTATTTTGTTTTCTGCAGATGATGAAGGAAAAGAATACAAGTTAACATGATACACCGACTCAAGGTGGTGTAGTGATATTGAGGATAGAAAATCCACAATTGGCTATGTGTTTATGTTGGATGGTGCACAAGTTTCCCTGAGTTCAAGAAAAGAACCAGTAGTGGCACTATCATCATGTGAAGCAGAATACATAATTGCTTCTCTCTTTGCATGTCAAGCAACATGGATGGTGAATTTGGTCGAAGAGATTACAAGGAAGAATCATGGAGCAATTACCATGAAGATCGACATAATTTATGCTATTAATCTGGCAAATAATACGATAGCGCATGGATGAAACAAGCACATCAAAATGAGGTTCCATTATCTTCAAGAGCAGGTAGCAGAAGCAAAGTTGAACTTGGAACACTACAGAACTGAGAATCATATTGCAGACATCATGACGAACGGAATGTAGGTCAAAGTGTTTAAAATACTAAAGTCTATGATGAATGTAGATAGCTTTGACACAATGGATTAGGTGGTGTGTTAAATTATAATTCTACTACTAGAAAAAGCACATTTAACGTCAGACTCAAAATGCGTTTAACCTCGGCTACAGGGTAGAGGTAAATAAGGGCGTCATAAAAAGTTCACACTTTAACTCTCGGTTTTAGAATAAATGGCGAGTATGTGAAATGTCAAGGGTTAGATCCCGAGGGAGACCTTTTTGAAATTCTGAAATGGCGAAAACACGTGTCCCCTCGATTTTGTGATTTCACTTACGGATATACCACATTTTTACCTCGGTTATCTAACAAAACCGAGGGGTAAAATAATTTTGAGTTTATTACATCTAATGTGGATTGCATAATTCACTAAACCCGATATAGAACATATAACTTCTAAAAATTAGTTAGGAAAATAATTATATGAAAAATTGTGTTATATTTGAAGAACAACTTACAATGATTATGATTTTGAAGCATCATGTAACTCATCATTCTCCTCACGCCATTTATAGTTAAAATCTCTCAAATGTTTCAAGTTCTTTATTCAACACTTCTTTTTCTACTAATTCATTATTGAAAACATAAAATTTGATGCTTTAAAAAATGAACAAATATGGACTAAAGTTGAACAAAAACTAGAAGTATTGGAGAGATTTTAACAATAAAACAATATGAGATGAATGATGAGTTACAGGATGCTAGAAAATCATTAATCAGTGTAAGATAATTTTCAAATACAACATAAGTTTGCATATGATTATTTACAAACTCAGTTTACTAGGTTATATATATGTTCAAAGAGAGGTTAGCTAGTGAAATAAACAATCGACATTAGATATAATAAACTCAACTAGACGGAACAAGAAAATAACAACAACATCAAACACAACATCAAGAACAACAACGTCAATAAAAATAACAACGATATCAATAACAACAACGTCAATAAACAACCTCTAGAGTTTAGGGTCTTAACAACAAGAACAACAACATCGAAAAAATAACATCAATAACAACAAGAAAAACAACAAAAAAAAAACTTTAGGATTTCGGATCTCAACAATAATAAAAATAACAACAACAACAACAACAACATCAACAATAACAATAACAACAACAACACAAATAATATGACAAAAATATTAGTAGTGATGTTTGACGTACCAGATCTCTGAAGAAAAAGTAAAAGAAAATGATTTGGATCTCTGAAGAATAAAAGAGAGTCCTAAGCACATAACATCTTCGTATTGAAGATGGTTTGTGTTTATGGCTCCTCGTTAGGGTTTTGTTTGTGTTGTTTAGAGAAGTGAAACATAATGCTACAAGATAAAGCTATATATATATATATATATATATATATATATATATATATATATATATATATATATATATATATATATATATATATATATATATATATATATATATATATATATATATATATATATATATATATATATATATATATGTATATGTATGTATATATATATATATGTATATGTATATATATATATATATATATATACATATATATGTATATGTATATATATATATATATATATACATATACATATATATATATATATATATATATATATATATATATATATATATATATATATATATATATATATATATATATATATATATATATATATATATATATATATATATATATATATATATATATATATATATATATATATATATATATATATATATATATATATATATATATATATATATATCAAATTATTAACTTCGGTTGTTAAGAAAACTGAGGGGTAAAGTTACGTGCTTTTAGATTAAAAATAAAATATTCAAGAATGCACCATTTTTAATGAGATAAAAACATAAACCGAAATAATATATTGTATTTTTAAAAAAAAATCAAGGTGCTACCAGGTATTTGACCTCGGTTTTTCATTTCATGAGGTGAAATCATCGTCATGAAATGTATTATTTGTAGTAGTATTCCTTGTGTCGAAGCAGATTGCTCGACAGAAGTAAGGAAGTGTCAAAATCGTGTTAGTGTCGAAATATCAAAGTGTGTCTCGACATAAATTTTGACTTAGTTCTAATTTTGTAATGTTAGCAAAATTAGGTATTTTGGGCCTTATTTGAGGAGCAATCAAATCCAAATCTATAAATATGGAGTAACCCTATTATAAATTGTAACACAACAGAAGTGCAGATGCATAGTTGAATAATATTTCTTAGTTTGAGAAGCAGAGAGAAACTCTGCAAAACTCACAACTCTTTCTCTTATCTTCTCTCTCACATTGAAACCCTAACTTCTTAGTTTGAGAAGCAGAGAGAAACTCTGCAAAATTCATAACTCTTTCTCTTCTCTTCTCTCTCACATTGAAATCCTGACTTCTTAGTTTGAAACCCTAACTTCTTAGTTTGAGAAGCAGAGAGAAACTCTGCAGAATTCACAACTCTTTCTCTTCTCTTCTCTCTCACATTGAAACCCTAACTTCTTCTTCTCAATTCAATTTTCTTTTCTTCTTTCATTATTATTGTGCAGCGAAATCTTACTATCAAAAGTGATTGATTCACTCGAGTCGAAGAGTGAAGAACAAACGTGATAATCAATTAAAAGAATTGATTCTTATTCATTAAAAATTGGTTTGGAATTCATCAAATTGTGGTAAAAAAACTTTAACGAAATTTGATTTAATTACAACAATAAACTGATTTAAAAAATTGTTTATGTATTTATTTATTTATATTTTTCCAATTTTTTTATTTATAATATAAACAGTTAATTGATATTCAGATTAGCTATTTAATTCAAATATCATATGTTAATTGAGTTACTCCACCCAACATTTTTTAATTATATATTATATACCTTATAATTTATTTATTGATTTTAATATCATATAAATATTTATTGTGATTTTATTTTTTTTAATAATATTTATTAATTTTATGTTTCTTATTTCTTATGTTTCAAATAAAATTTATCATAATCACAGGAATATTAATTTTAATATATTATATTCAACATCAAATATATTAGTTATTACATTTTTATAATATTAATAATGTTAATGATTTTAAAAATATTAATCGATATATTTAAAAATTAATCCAAATATTAACCAAATTACTTTAAAAAAAATTAATCTTCAAAATTTTTATCAAACCATAATAATTTAATCTATAGATAAATTCTTACTTATAAAACTACAACACTATAAGTCTCTACTTATTACCAAGACCTAGATACATAAAATACAGACACATATATGAACCTAGCCCGAATTCAATAGTTAATTAACCAAATAGATAGCGTGTCAAAGGTCATAATATATAAATATAATATTGATGCATAATGTGGAGAAGAATAATGATTAGATTTCGGATAAGTACAAAGAATAGTAAGAAAGATAGGAAAATGCAGAAACACGAAACTCACGAGCTGTGTCCATTTAAATAATGTGATTAACCACAAGTTACATCTTAATTAACATAATTAATTAATTAATTATATAAAAAAGTGGGACCCGTTGAGAAAAAAAACAAAGAGGTGGTTTTTTTCACGCAGGCGGGGACCGCACTCAAAGCATTGTGAGATTACGTCATCTGACAACATAAACCAATCACGAGTAATTTGCTCACTACGTTTCTCATAATTATTTTATTTTTTTATTTTTTTATATTTTATTTTTTATATTTTAATTTTTAATCATTTTCCTTCTTTTCTGTTCTTTATAAATTCAACTCAAACCTCTCCACTGTTTCATTCCAAAACCAAAACCGTAACCTTATTCAACAACCTTTTCTAACAAGTTTCTGTAACAAGAGCAACTGAACCGAAATGGCTGAGGAGCTTTTTGAATCCGATGTTGTTTTTTCGGAGGATGTTGAATCTGAAGAAGAGAATGAGACACTGAAGAAGAAGAAGCAGCCGGAGGAGGAGGAGGAGAATTCTGGTGATGAGATTGATCAGGCTGAGAAGAAGAAGACTGTGGTGAGCTCGAAGCCGGTGAGAATTCCGGAAGTGATGTTTCGTCGATGGGGAAATGATGGCTATGACTATGACGACGAGGAAGAGATGGTGCCGCCGCACGTGATTATGGCGCGGAGGCTGGCCGGAAAGATGACATTCTCGATGTGTTTTGGGAACGGAAGGACTTTGAAGGGAAGGGATTTGAGCAGGGTGAGGAATTCGATTCTTAGGATGACTGGTTTTATTGAAGTCTGACATTGTTTGCGTTTGGATGGTGGGAAATGGAAGGGAAAGAATATGATTAGTTTTCTTGTTTTCGTTTTCTGCTAATCTTTTAGTTTCTGAGATTGAACTTTTTTGGGAGTCTCATTGATTGTAAGAGGGAAGAAAAAACTATAGAAGAATATTTGGAGATAAATATTAATGAAAGTGAATTTAGTTGTTAAATGTCATGGCTTTAAATTTATTTCATTTTTTTTTTGTTGGATTCATATCTTTTTTAAGGTTTGTGTTATTAATAATGTGTGGCTTAATTGGGACATTGTTGGAGCTTTTTCATTTTTGGGAGAGTATGGTTTTGTTTCATTCATTTGCTTGCTAACTTGCGCTTTGTGTGGGCATTGCACACCCAGCTGTGACTAATGTTTCTCTTGCATATAGCCTAGTATTAAACATTTGCATCATGTTAAATTATGTTGATATTTTGAAATAATTTGAATGATTTGTAAATTGATGATTTTTTTATTCATCGTGTAAAAAATATTTACACAGATCATGGTGCATGTCGATTAAACACTTTTTTATAATGTGTTCTTTTTAAATGTAGTTATAAAAATTAATTTATATATTTACTTAAAAATATGTATTTTAATTGTAAAATGGTTTATATTTAAATAGACTTACTTAAAAATGAGTTTAAAATATATTTTAATGAAGAATTAATCATGTTAAAATATCAAAACTATAACTTCAAATTAATTCACAACAAAATTTATTTTTGTTTGAAAAAAGTTAGATATATAAAATCAATTTAAAGAATCCATGTTAATTGTTACAAATGAAAGATTAAGGGAAAGGTTTTGAAGTTTAAACTCAATGGTTATGATGTGTTAGTATAATTTGGTTCTGCAATTCTTCTAGTATTATTTGTAGTTCTCCAAAGAACCTTTCAAAACTTAAGAAGACTCTTAAAATAATTCTTATAAAATAAGGATAAAAAATGCCACTCTTAATTACACACATTTCTTGTCTCTAAGTGAATCAAGAGTTTAATATATATATATATATATATATATATATATATATATATATATATATATATATATATATATATATATATATATATATATATATATATATATATATATATATATATATATATATATATATATATATATATATATATATATATATATATATATATATATATATATATATATATATATATATATATATATATATATATATATATATATATATATATATATATATATAAAATTAAATTTATATTTATAATTTTATTATACATATGTATTACTCTGGTTAAATAATTTATAATTAGATATATCGGTTTTATTTAACTGAATAGTGTATAAGTAAAATATGGTTTTAAAAAATGAGAGATTTAGTTTTAATTTTAAATTAAAATACATAGATTTTTTAAAACTAAACTTTAGTGATATTTAAGCCCAAAAAGTAATATAATATTAGTTAAAAGCTGATTTGTTTACCAAAAATGTTGCTCACTTATTCATCAACATTGTTCAATTTAAAGGATGGAATCTTACATACACTCAAAAATTAAGAATGTTCAAATTCAAACTAATTCAAAATAAAACTGCAACTCCGTAAAAAAAAATTAAATTTATTTTAGGAATTTATTTTAATATTTTAATAATAATCTATTACATTAATCCAGAGTAAAGGCCAAAGTTTTTGTAAAGTCTGGCAAAGCCAACACCGATATGTCAATCATTTCTCTTTTCGGTAAAGGCCAAAGTTGTCTCTGCACTCCATGAAAATTTAATAGAACACAACAAACGGTGAGCAGAGTGGAAAGAGTGGCGTTATTGTGCACAAAACACCTATAAAACCCGGTGAGTCCTAAAAATCCTCAGAGGGTCGTGAGTGAACATGGAACAGGCCAATCCAAAATTGCCTGCACTTTTTTTTTGGATCTGGGGAAACACCTCCAACATAATTCACATAACCTAAATAATTAATTGTATCCACTACAAAAACATATTTAGAAATTTTGGCATCAAATTCATTAGGTTTAAGCAAGTTAAAAATAACTCTTAAATGGGCAAGGTGATCCCTCAACGAAGATTATTGTATGTTGATTATTATGGTAGGGGCATACCTACAAACACTATGATGATCAATTCAGTATAGGTCATGGGTGTGAGGTTTATAATTTTAGAATAGTGTGTACATTAGTCTAAACTATTTGTTAGACTTTATAGTAGGTTATAGGGTTTAGAGGCCTTAAAATCCTCATCAGAGACAATTGCCTCAGGGGATAGATGTCAAAGAATTTTGTAAGCCTTGTTATCTGACAATCTTCATAATCAACTCAGTCATAATTAAATGCATATCTAAAGTGTGCCAATCTCTTGTTCTGCCTCACTTGACGAGATTTTGGTAGCTTTGACTCATGTGGATTGATCTTTAATCCCTTTTAGAATATATGTAAATAGTAAATAGTTTTAATTCTATATTACTTTCTCAATTAAATCTTTCTTTAAATGTATATATTGATTTATATACTTGATAAAATTACAATACGTGACAACTCATAGTGATTAAAGGTTGTCAAAGACTTTTAGGGTTTGTTGTAGGGTTTAGAGCTAGCTCACACATGGAGGTGAGAAGCCTTACATATGTAGTATATGTGTCAATATGATATTGCCCTCTTACGTATAGGATTGTGTTATTTATAGGAATTTTTGGGCATGGGTCACATATGCCCAGGAAATAGCAACCAATTTTGAGAGACATTGGGAATGGATAGTTAATCGCCTGTTATTAATGAGAGCATGGCTAATTTCCTCCTGAGTTGTTTCACAATGTTGCTAAATAGGGACACATCACTTTCCATATTCTCCCGTTTTGGGAGCATTATCCAGGAAATTGGTGACGTGTTTGAAGAAAAGGCGTCATATATAGAAACTGAGTGATCAATCTAGGAAATAGGCAATCAAGAAGACGTTATAGGAAAGGAGTTACATCACTTTCCATCCTTGTTTCCCCTTGTGTGCCCTTTATAAATATACCAATACACAGTCCCTTAAGCAAGAGAGATTGGAAAAGGCGAAGTGATTTTGTTTTGTTTTTCCTTTTCATATCTAGATGATCCCCTACAAATTACTTGGGGTGAGTCCCTTCTATATGGGGGGAGTCCTTCTTATATAAGGTGAGTCCCTCTTGTAATAGGCGAGTTCCTCTTGTATGATGTGATTATTGAATGTATCTCCAAGTGTCAATGAGGTGAACCACACGTCAGCCAGGTGAAGGAAATCAAACATTAATCAATTGAAGGAAATCAAATGTGATTCAACCGAAGGGAATTAAACGTCAATCAACTGAGGGAAATCAAACATTAGCTGAGGAAAATGTGTGTTTCATTAAATAACATTTATGATGATTTTTCTTAGGAAGCCAAATTTGGACTTACTCCTTACGTGTGTCTTTGGCGTGGGGAATCTTTCTCTTTTCATGTAACCATTGAGATGTTCAGTGGGCGGTGGTAGGTTACCCTTATGAATGGACTTCCCATCCCTATAAAAATATCTCAACCTTCTTCCTTTGATCATTTCTACATTCTCCCCTTATAAACTTCCATCCATTTAGTTAAGAGTTCTTATAGGCGCAAAGTGCATTCATTTTACACGTTCTTGACTGTGATTTTAGGTATGATTCCATTCTTCATTTTCTCATTCAATTCTTAACAATAATTATTATATTTTGGGATGTTTAAAGAGTGGCTACACACTTAACATTACAAATTAGGAATTGGAGACGTGAGGGCCCTAGTAGTTTTGATAGTCTTTTTTTTTTTGCTCTTCTTGTTCTTACCAGGAATTAATAGCAAAAATAGATGATAAATGTTTCAACATCCAATATTTTGCATGCATGTATTCTAATAAGGAAAGGATCACTGCTTTTTGGTGGAAAATCATATTTTCCAATACTGGACATGAGGACGATGTGATTTCGGAACCATGCTCTATAGGGGAGAGGGTCAATATGTTTGTCTTGGATGGCTCGCCTACCCCGTATTTATACCTTCATATTCCCGTCATTCATGATATATGAGTCTTCATAAATTTCACACCATTTAAAGTCAGGTTTCTAGTGACTGCAAATTTCGTTCCTTCTTAGGTTACACCTAACGTATGGGGTATAATTATGGCATTCGAAGTTATATGTCGGCAATTAGGAGCCTTTCCTAACATTTAGGTATTCTTATCTTTTTATTCCATCAAAATCATCACCAAAAGTGATAGGGTGACCTGATGCAGTCTTCTTGGAAGAATATTACTAAAGCCCCACTTAAAACCTTACACAAACTATAAATATAAGTTCATGAGGGTCAAAGGGAGAGAGTGTGTCTCCATGGTCATGACTAGGGCGACCAGCTCTCCTCCTTCCCTTTGTATTGAACGAGTGACCTGAAGGTCAACACTGGCTTTGACTTTGATGATCTTACCCCATATGAGCAAGAGATGGTCCATGTTTTGAACGATTTTGATTTCATGAGCTCTCGTACCCTGATCACTTTAGATCGAGGAGATGATAGCGGGATAGAAGAGTACTTGGAAGAGCTTCTGGTTGAAAAAACCCATGCTTTGAGGTTTTGTGCGTATTACACTATGTTATATCTTTATATGACTTTATTACAGAAAAATTTCTACAATAAAGTCACCTAGACAGACAGAAGAGAAAACTCCAATTGATAGACAACCCCTAGAGTCGCCCAGACGGCCAAATAACAATGGATGACAAAATACATGGCAATGAGCATAACCTAGGTGCTACCCATCCCCATAAAACCCAAAATAAAAGAGAGGTTCTTTGAAGGATGGTCAAATAATGGTTGTTATATAAGGTAGGCTTGAGTGGTAGTATTTTCCAACAAAGGACGGTTCTTGCCCATAGCCCTCTTTATGGAGTGATGCTTCATTTGATGCTATCAATTTTAACTATATTCCCCTCCCTTTTCCTGAGGATTTTCCAACTAATTATAAAGGCCT